AAAGAAAAAGAGAAGATAAACTAGATAATTAGGAGCTCCTAAAAATTAAACACTTACACTCATCAAAGGACTTCACCAAAACAGTAAAAAGAGAACCTACAGAGTGGGAAAAAAATTTTTGGCTATGACATATCTGACAAGGGTCTCATCTCTAAAATCTATAAGATACTTAAATCCTCAACAACAAAAAGATGAATAATCCAGTTAAAGAATGGGCAAAGGACATGAACAGACACTTCACCAAATAAGACACTCAGGTAGATAAAAGACACATGAGGAAATGCTTGTGATCATTAGCCATTAGAGAAATGCAAATCAAAACTACAATGAGATACCATCTCACCCCAACATTACTAGCATGAATCAAAAAAACAGAAAATAACAAATGTTGGAGAGGTTGCGTGGAGACTAGAACTCTTATGCACAGCTTGTGGGAATGTAAAATGGCAAAACCATTCTGGAAAACGATATGGCGCCTCCTTAAAAAGCTAGAAATGGAAAAATCCTATGATCTGGCAATACCACTGCTAGGAATATATATTAGAGAGATAAGAGCCATCACACGAATAGACATATGTACAACCAAGTTCATTGTAGCATTATTCGCAATAGCAAAAAGATGGAAACAACCTAAGTGCCCATCAACAGATGAATGGATAAACAAATTATCATACCTACATACAATGGAATACTACCCAAAAATAAGGAGAAATGATGAATTCTTGAAACATCTCACAATATGAATGAATCTGTAGGGCATTATGCTGAGTGAAATAAGTCAATCATAAAAGGACAAATATTGTATGAGACCACAATTATAAAAACCCAAGAAAAGGTTTACATACAGAAAAAAACAATCTTTGATAGTTACGAGGGAAGGGAGGAGTGAGGAGGGAAAATCACTAAGTAGTAGACAAGTGTTAACTTTGGTGAAGGGAAAGACAACACACAATATAGGGGAAGGCAGCATAACTTGACCAAGGCAAAGTCATAGAAGCTTCCTAGACACATCCAAACACCTTGAAGGACCGAGTTACTGGGGCTGAGGGCTGGGACCATGGTCTCAGGGGGAACATCTAGGTCAATTGGCATAACGTAGTTCATAAAGAAAATGGTCTACATCCTACTTTGGTGAGTAGAGTCTGGGGTTCTAAAAGCTTGCATGCAGTCATCTGAGATATATCTATTAGTCCCATCACATTTAGAGCAAAGGAGAATGAAGAAAACCAAAGATACAAGGAAAATATTAGTCCACAGGACTAATGGACCACATGAACCACATTCTCCACCAGCCTGAGCCCAGAGCTAGATGGTGCTCAGCTACCACCACCAACCACTCTGACAGGGATCACAATAGAGGGTCCCAGACAGAGCAGGAGAAAAATGTAGAACAAAATTCAAATTCACAAAAAAAGACCAGACTTACTCTTCCGACAGAGGCTGGAGGAACTTCTGAGACTATGGCCCCTGGACACCCCGCTAACTCAGAACCGAAGCCACTCCCAAAGTCCAACCAAACCTGTTGTTGCCAAGCCAATTCTAACTCATAGTGACCCTCTAGGACAGAGTAGAACTACCCCATGGAGTTTCCAAGGAGTGGCTGGTAGATTTGAGTTGCCAACGTTTTGGTTAGCAGCCAAGCTGTTAATCACTGCGCCACCAGGTCTCCGCCAAAGATTAGACAAGCCTATAAAACAAACATTAACATACGTGAGGAACATGCTTCTTAGTTCAAAGAAGTATATGAGACCAAATGCGCAACACCTACCCAAAAGCAAAGATGAGAAGACAGGAAGGGACAGGAAAACTGGACAAATGGACATGGAGAACCCAGGATGGAAAGGTAAAGGAGGAGAGTGCTGACAGTTTGCCGGGGTTGCAAACAATGTCACAAAACAATTTGTGTATAAACTTTGGAATGAAAAACTAATTTGCACTGTAAATTTTCACCTAAAACAACACAAGTTAAACAAGGGGGGAGGGTGAAGTAAGCAGAGGTTGGTCGATGCCAGCAAGGACGAGAGGAGAGGGTTGTATTGTGGAGTGGCAGGAGCCTCAAAGGAGAGGGATTTGGCAAGAGGGATGGGGAGTGAGGAAAATATCTGCGCCACCTCCAACTCTGAGACATGTAGGGGCAAGAGAAGAAACATCCCCAGCTGAGAGGGTTGCAGGAGAAATGGTCTTCAGGGGATGACGAAGTTTCAGTTAAGGCAAGAGGACAGAGGAAACTTTCTCAGAAGAGACTGAAAATACTGGGATGCCACATGCCACATGGAAGGGAAGTGGGAGTTGTGGAGGCTTGTTTCAATAGGGAGTTTGAGATTAGAAGATACATGTAACTTTATTGCCTTAATCTTCTGGTGCTGAAGTATTAAAGAAGGGAATTTTAGGCATGATGAGATATGTTACAGCCTCTGGAAGTAATACAGGAGCTGGGGCCTAGCAATGTGGTCCTGCAGGCTCTGCTTAGAGGCTTGGCAGTAGAGAGGACTCAGACACTGTGGTGAATTCTGTGATCCCTAAAGGGATGAGAGCAGGCTTCCAGGGGGCCACCATCTCCAATCCTATGCACATGCTAAATATTACTATTACTACCTGAGCATGGCATCCTTTCCCAAAGAAGCTCAGATGTGAACTTAGACTCCTCCTCAACATAGTTCCCCAGGGGGCCAAACCATAAATTTATTCACCAACCCAGACTTGGGCCAACACGATCATTTTGTGGATGAGGAAATTGAGGTTAAGAGAGGGCAAAAGACTTGGCCAGGCCAGCCTAGGACCAAAGTTCAGACTTTCTGGTTCCCACTCCATTGTTCTGTCTTTGAGCCCAGAGTCCAGCGGGGCATAGATGTCCTAATGGATCAGCAGTGGAGATGGGGCCACTCAGAAACAAATGAAAAGAAGAAAGGCTGGGAATAAGATGGTGAGGGAAAGCATGAGAGAAAGGAGAGAGACCACGGGAGGCAGGTGCAACACCTTCTAACCTGCCCTTGAGGCTGGGGAACACGCCAGGCAGGGCAGACACCTTCCCTTCCCCTTCCTCAGGAAGATCAGAGGCTCCGTGGCATGTGGGTGGACCGGTTCAGCTTCCAGCACCACGTCATTCTGTAAAAGGGAAGAAAAGGAAAGCAAAGCAGTTCACTAATATGGGAACCACTGGGGAGAAAGCGCTGAAAAGAGCCTGTGCTGGTAGAAGTCAGATCCTTTCCCTCCTGGCTAGAGATAAAACACTCTGAGGTTAAATACAAAGGAAGCTCTTCTGTGGGGTCTTCGGTAGTGGAAGAGGGTAGTCAGGACAAGGACATTTAGGGACCTTTATATTGCTAAAAGGGGCTGCTTTTCTCATAGGAATGTGGTATGCATATTCTATGCATGGTCAAAAATGAAGAAGGCTGTATCTGGGATAGATTTTTTAAAAATTTTATTGTGGTAAAATATATCTAACAAAACGTTGGCCATGTTAACCATTTTTAAGTGTACAATTCAGTGACATTAATTTGATTTGCTGTGCTCTACAACCGTCACCACTATCCATTTTCAAATGTTCTCCATCACCCCAAACAGAACCTCAGGACCTCTTTAGCTGTAACTCCCCATTCCCCCTCCCTCCTCCCACCCTCGTAATCACTAATAAATTTTGGTCTCTACGTGTTTGCCTATTCTAGATATTTCATCTAAGTGGGATCATACAATATTTGTCCTTTTGTGTCTGACTTACTTCACTCAGCGTCATGTTGTCAAGGTTCATGCATGTTGTAGCTGATTGTTGTTCTGATTCTTGAAATGAATCAGAATTCCATTTCTCTTCACAGCTCAATAATATTCTATTGAATGTATGTACCACATGTTGTTTATCCATTCATTTGCTAATGGATATTTGGGCTGTTTCCACCTTTTGGCTATTGTCGATAATGGCGTACAGTGAAATAGATTTTTAAAGTCTTCCATGCCGTCCACTCTGAGTAGCCCATGGATTTCTGAAATGTCCTGGTCAGTGACAAGAATCAGTCCTGTGTTTATCTGGTTTAATCCAGATCCTGCAGGACCCACCACAGGGGTGCAGCACCACTGGAAGTGTAGCAGCTTGGAATTACCCCAGTCCCTGATCTCTAGGGCTAGCTGGACACCCTGTTCCCTACCTTGGCCCTCTCCATTCCATTAGCTTTCCAAATCCATTTGAGGCCAAACCTGTATTTGAAGAAAGAAAAAATCCTGGCCGAAAGCTCTAGGATGCACGAGTTGGGGTCCAGGTACCCTGGAATAACCCTGGGTTCTTTGGCTCCCACCTACAAATCCCGAGCACTCTGTGCAGCCCCATTCAGCAGCCATGCCTAGGAGCTCCTTTCTTCTAAGGAGGTAAATGCTTCACATCTCATCCCCTGGCCATGTCTAGGAAGACTTTAATAAGTGGACAAAGGGGCTGTTTCTCAGCTCACAGCACTCTCTGGAAACCACAGGCAGGATAGGTAGCCTGGAAGGGATGTACAGAAGAAGACAGGCTCTCCCCCACCTACTGTCCCCCATTGGATACCCATCTGAAGCCTGTCTCCTGGAATGTGTAGGAAGGTGACATGGACAAGATCAAGTGTCAGAAAAACGTGTCCTTTTCCTAGTGGCCTTGGCGATTCTGTGAGATGGGAGGGAAAGAATGGCTGCCCCTTGCCTGAGGTCTTTACATTTTGGATCCTTTTAAAAATGAAAACAAAACATTTAGCTTGTCAAACCCAGTAAGGCAGCACAGGCTTACAAAAGAGCTCAGGAATCTCGCGTTCTTTCCAGAGCCACCACAGAAACACGTGGTCCTCAGCAGAGCCTGTGGGGTAGGAGTGACTCACAAAAGAATAGAAGTTTGGGGGCTAGACCCTAGGAGGGCTGGAGTCCATGAGGAATCATCCTGAGCTGGCCTCCTCTAGAGCCCAGTCGTCTAGCTGCCTGTCACTGCAGCTGGCCGCTGCCCCAAGCCTGGGAGAGAGTAATGAGTAACTAAGCTTGCTCCGAGGGGAGGAGACAGTTAAAATCCTGCGGCAGCGGCAGTCATCTAGGCGTGGTTCTCCTGTCTGACTTGGGCAGCATAGTTCCTGCGCGGAAGGAGCAGAAGGACAGCTGAGGCAGCGGCAGAGCCTCCCGATGGCCGAGCTTGATCTAATGGCTCCAGGGCCACTGCCCGGGATCACCACTCACACCCTAGCCCCTCTCAGCCCAGACTCGGGGGAAGCCAGCCCAGTAGAAGAGGACCAGGGGCCCCTGGGGGGGACCGAGGGGCAGCCTGAGGGGCAGGACAGCATTGCTGCAGAGCCAGGGGCCCCTGACGGGGAGGGCAAGGGTGAGGGCGAGGAGGAAATCCTGTGTGACTTCTGCCTGGGGGCCAGCAGGGTGAGGGCGGTGAAGTCCTGCCTGACTTGCATGGTGAATTACTGTGAGGAGCACCTGCGGCCGCACCAGGAGAACAGCAAGCTGCACAGCCACCAGCTGACTGAGCCGGTGCCAGACAGAGACCTGCGCACCTGCTCTGCCCACCACTGCGCGCTGGTCGCCTTCTGCTGCCCCGACCAGCAGTGCATCTGCGAGGAGTGCAGCCAGAACGAGCACCGGGGCCACACCACTGTCTCCCTGGATGCAGCCCGCAGGGACAAGGAGGTGAGCCATTGGTCTACCAGGAGAGGAGGGCTGGGGAGACAGGGTGCCCAGGTAGCGGCTGGGGCCAATATGGCAGCTATGGGGACTACCGACTTCACTTCTGTGCTCAGCTCACTTCAAAAAGGACTTTAGTCTTAGCACCTGGCTATTAGTCCAGAGTAGATATCTGTTGTCCTTGGCTCTGGAACCTGTCTCAAGTAGGTCGCTCTGTCCCCATCTCAGTCACACTCTCTGATATCTCTCCCTGTGTTTCTCTTCTCATGTTGCTAGTTTCCGTCTGTTCTCACTTAGCTTCAGGTGATGTCTGTGTGGGTGTCAGGCTCAGACAGCATCTGCATGGCCTTTCCACTGACAATCCATGAAATGCGAACTTTGGCAGAAATTCAAGATTAAAGAATTCAGCCTTTCCCCCAATCTCTCTTTTTCCCTTTACTTAAACCAAGCAAGAGACCAGTATACAGCACCACTTTTGAGATACTAGTGTGAAACCCAAGAGCTGGAAAAGTGCTAAGATAACACTGAGTTTGAAACTTACATCTGGGTGTAATATGAAATATGGCTTACCTTAGGGAAACGTAGACATTCCTCACCAGACGGAGGACTTGGGAGGAGCGGAGAAACTCCTTGTTCATAGCCTGCAATTTTATTTCTGTCGGATGAGGAACCTATTTGTAGAACAGCCAGCTTGTCTTTGCCCTAAGCTGAGCACCTGGAGAAATTCTTGCAAATTTGCTTTAGCAACCATATGTGTTTGTTTCTCATACTTGACACTCCGTGAGCACTTTCTATGTTTTTAGCAGGGAAGTGCTTTGTTTCTCATACTTGACTGTGAGCCCTTTTTATGATTTCATCAGGAAAGTGCTTTGTTTCTCATACTTGACTTTCCATGAGCACTTTTTTCCAGTAGGGAAGTACAGTTGACTTTTGTCCCACATTCCTTATGCTCATACTCACTCAGCTCCCTATTTTCACTGACCTCGGCCAGCAGATTCACAGCAATTTCTTGTCCCAAGATTCCTGGGCAGCAAAGAAAGGGGTCTCTGAGAAGGAAGATTCTTTTGAACGGTTTACTGTCCAGTACTTCTCCTCCACATTCATCCTTAGATATGTAGTATACCCAGTGTTAGTGGGAGCTCTTCTGGAAAGCTCCATATTCCAGATGCCAGAGTGTCACCGTTTCCAGCTTGTGAAGCCACTTGCCAACTGCTTCCAGCTTCTCCAGGGTCTGGGAATGTCCTGTCAGAAGGTCACTGCCCTGCATTTCCCTACATCTACAACCATTAGGAGGCTACCTGTCAACAGGTAGAGAGATCAAAGGAAAAAACTCCAGAAAATTGAGGAAAATAGTATTTATTGAGTGTTACGATGTGCTAAAGATCCCTGGGTGGTATAAGCAGTTTGAGCTCAGCTGCTAACTGAAAGCTTGGTGGTTTGAACCTATCCAGTGGTGGCATGGAAGAAAGACCTGGCAATCCGCTTCTGTGAAATTTACAGCCAAGAAAACCCTATGGAGCAGTTCTACTCTGACACACATGGGGTTGCCAAGAATCGGAATCTGCTTGACGGCAATAGGCTTGTTTGGTTTTATGATATGCTAAATGCTTTATGTGGATTTTCTCGTGGAATCCTCCCAGAACTCTGTGAGGTGGGAACTCTTATTATCTCTGCCACATTGGTCGAAGGTCATACCACCAACTAAGTCACAGAATAAAGAATGGAAGTTTATGGAAAGCCATCCTACTAGAGGATCCCCAAATCACAGTGTTGTAACCAACTTTTCTTTTTTGGCACTAAAAACCTGCCACATGTATACCAGAAATGTTAAGACAAAGCTTCCTGCTTCTCTTCTTGGGTTTAATATCTGAATTTTATTGTTTTCAGCTAAAGAAACAACACAGGTACCTGTTAGAAGATAATCTGCACCAAACATTGCAATAGATTATACCATGAAATAGGTCTCCTTCCCATCTCAGATTCCCACATCTTCCTCCTCAGAGGCAAACACTGTCTACTCTTTGGTTTCCTTTCAGAAATGTCCTATGCCTGTACCAGCATATGTAAAATATGAATTTTAAACGTAGGACATCTGGTGTATTACAGAGACTTCAAGTAATTGTAACTGAATAGGGAATAATTGTGCAGATCATGCCCAGAATCCCAAATTCACACAACCTAGAAGAGAGCTGTGTAAGGTCAAATCATGACAACTGGGTAAGGGGCCCCAGGGCAGGTTTCTAGTGCTGAAAAGCAATCATGGCTGTAGGGTCAGTGCTACATCCTCTTACCTCAGATTTTTGGTGATGGCCCCAATTCACAACCCTCTGCTTCCTGGCTGGCATAAGAGAGCTCTTGTCCTTTTTATCTGAGTCCTTGTTTTCAGCTCAGAGAGCAAGTTTACTCTGTAAGTGTAGCTACACTCTAGGTGGCTCCTCCAAATCTTAGGAACCAAAGTTTTTCTTGCAAGGAGCCTGAGACGCCAACTCAGAAGACGTAGATGATGGGACTGCAACCTCCACCAGGATTATTTTGAAAATATTATCACACATAACTAGGACTCCCTTCAGCCAGCCTGAGCTTGCTGCAGTTACTTGCTGAAGGTCACGCTGGAGTGTGTTAAAGGCTAATTACTCAGGCAGGCTTGTTGGGCATACCAGTTGCCATTGAAATGATTCCTACTCATGGCGATTCCATGTATGTCAGACTAGAAATGTGCTCCAAAGGACCTTGCGGTTTTTTTATTGTACTGTAGATGAAGGGTTGCAGAACAAACTAGCTTCTGGTTAAACTGTACACATATTGTTTTATGACTTTGGTTAACAACCCCATGACATGTGAACACTCTCCCCTTCTCGACCTTAGGTTCCCTATTACCAGCTTTTCTGTCCCCTCTTGCCTTCTTGTCCTTGCCCCTGGGCTGGTGTGCCCATTCAGTCTCATTTTGTTTTATGGGCCTGTGTAATATTTGGCTGAAGGGTGAACCTCAGGAGTGACTTCATTCCTGAGCTAAAAGTGTTTCCGGGGGCCATACTCTCAGGGTTTTTCCAGTCTCTGTC